TACGCTGCACTTGACGAAACAATAGTCGAACGAGCGAACCCGATGGAACGATAGACCGGACGTGCTGTTGGACGGAGAAGAGAGCGTCGAGGGATGCCGAAGGGGGAGGAAGAGAGGGAGATAGAGAGAGAACGGAGAGTGTACACTCGATAGACGACGACGAGAACGAGGACGACGACAATCGTAGCCCCGGGTCGGGTTTTAACGACGTGCTCGGACACAGTCGTCGTATCCCTCCACCTTGGGTTGCACCGAGTTGCCGCCGCATGCAAGCCTCGCGCATCCCCTTGCCATTACCCCGGCCGCCTCTTACCCCTCTTGTCCCCGCTGATCCACGAAGTCGTCTCGCTCTCGTGAACGCTCGAAACGAACGAGAGAACGGCTCGAGGTTCGCTTCACCGATACTATTATACTAAACTTCGCGACCTCGTGTTAAACGCTCGCCCTGGCAGCGAAACAAATCCCCCGAAGTGAATGGGCCCGAATAAATAGCTGCACGGGCGAACGAGCTGTCAAAGTGTAAATGCCGAGTAAATCGCGTCTCTTATTAAATGTAAAAATATTATTTTTATCACACGGTTATATTAAAAAGTGAACAAAATCGAGCACAACTCAATATCCAAATAACTCTATATCCAAATTAAAAATATCCTGCAATGTATAATATTAAGATTTAATGGCTGATGTAATAAACTGCTACTAAAATTGCTAATGGCATATTTATGATAATATAAGTTACTAATGGCAATGAACGATTGATGAATAACGACGATTGAATAATGACGATGAGCGATGGGATAATTCATAATTATAAATAAAAAACACGATTTAAAACGAGGAAATTATTTGTAATAAACGTTTTATTAATATCGATCCTGAGCTACTTTTATTTTACGCGTCATTCCTGTACCAATTATCAATGGTCCATGTAAGCATTAGCCGTTTATTCTTCTCCTCTTTCTCCATCTCCAATTTACTCGCTTATATCTTCACGACGTATCTTTTATGATTTAAACCTGCATTGCAAGCACCCCATCGTTTAACATGAAAACTTTTGGCCGCCTCACCCTATATTACCCTCCCGGCCGTGTCCTTTCGCGTTCGCCGGAGCTTTATTGCGTACGACGTTACGACCATCGACAATGACAGCCTCCTATTACGCGGGCGTTTCGTACACGACAGCAGATAAGTACTTGCACCAGTTGATGATCAACACAACGCGAGACACGTAGCGAAAAGTCCTCCGAAGCGTAAAACGCATAGGCGGATAATTAAGCATCGCGATCGATCGCGCGAGCCTCCCCTCCCGAGGCGAAGAGGCTGATACGAGGCAAGGTAAAATCTTGGGAAGAGATATCGAGATATCCTTTTTAACTTTCGCACAGTGAGAGAACACGATGCGACACGACGTCAAAGAGATTTGGCCTGAAATAAATCAAAGAAAAAAGCTGCGAACGTGAGGAAAAATATAATTATAGATTTAATAATTATAATAATTAATATTTAATAATTATAAAGATAGAGCACACGAATGGTTAATAGCGGGCCGGAGTAAAGCGTAGTAAAAATTCATTTGCATATTAGAAGGAAGATATGAAAAATATAAAGAGCGTGAAAAATGTTCTTGACGTTTCCCAAGCGCCAGCGAGAGTCCATACGCGCGCGCGCGCGCGCGCGGCCTCAGGAAAAAAACCCGGGGAAAGAAATTAAATATATACACCTCGTAATAAATTACACGGAAAGAGATAGACGGCTAATTAATTAAAGTGGCGATTCGCAGACGCGCGAGGCGCGGCTTGCGTTTGTTTCGGTGCGGGCGGCAGGAAATATAACGCACTGCAGTGTCGAGAAATACATAGGCCCCGCGGTTTCGCGGATAATTTATGCACGTGCGCAGGTATTATACGCGTGGAGTAATGCCGCCGAGGGTTTCGCGCGTGCTTCACCGCCACGGAATGCAAACGCTACTCTCTTTCGTCCCTTTGTGACACCTGCGTCTCATCCCTCTACTGTCCCGAGCATCCTTCCCCGTACATAGATTCATCATGACAAATGCAACGGCGGCAACTAAAGAACGACCATTTGTAGACCTGAGATTTCTCCAGTCTAAGTATTTAATTGTTCCTTGAGAGAATTCAATTATGTCGATTATTCGGTGGAGATATAAACGACGGTGCGAGGGTCGATTCAGAGACAAGTAACGAAATTATTTATTGAAATTTAAATAAAGACTCTCGCTTGTTACATTCAAGTTTCAATTTAAAGCTTGAGCTTGTAAGCTATATGTTGTAATAAATTTATATACGGAGAGAAATAGTTTTGCTGGATAGAAATCTGAAAAATAATTTTGTTATAAAAATAATGACAATATAATGTAAAATGTTCAAATTAACCGTTCGCTGGTGCTAGAATGTAAAAAAATTTTGCAGTATTTTCATCATAATTTTAAACATCCTATATAATAATGGCCTAATAAAATTAATTTTTAGATCTATATTTGGCCAACTTTTTAGATCCTAATAAAATTGTTTTGTATATATATATATATATATATATATAATAATTGATTGTTTTAAGATTTAATAACACGTGTTCAATTTAACACGTAATAACGTGGTAATTGTATTATTAAAATATTTTATTTGCTATTTTTATTTTTCATTAATTTAAAAAAAAGATTTTAAAAATAAATATTCACGTCTATAGAAAATAAATATATTTTAACTTTTCACCTTTCACATTAATTTTGACCTATCTAGATTAGTAGTAGAACTAAATATTTAATAAAGTATTTAATAAAGCTATTTAATAAAGTAAGCAAATATCTAGTACACTACAAATAGATCAGTCATAGTTGGAGAAAATGACAGCTAATCAGAGATAACGGACAGTTGTAATTACTGTCGACGTAACAGGTCTCGAGGGCTATCTGCAACAAGAAAATTATCATACCTCTTAGTAACGTTCTTTACACTATACCAGCGAACGGTTAAATCCCGTATAATATTGGAGAAAGTTAGTCTCTTCACAATGAACTCCATGTCTATCTGAGTACCTTCCGTTCTTTGTAACATCTGTACCTTTATCTATCTATATCTATTAACCCCCTCAACGGAAATCAGCCTGCGAGAATGGGTGGGTCTCGCGGAAAGGAAGTTATAATGTAGAATTATCATGTAGATAGAAGGAAATCTAATAAATCGTAGCTAATAAATTCTCTTTACCGTCATCGTTGCATGTTCTCTTCCAGCTAGATCATAATCTAGAAAGTACGAATTAATCAAAGATAACCGTTCTAGTGCACGACATTTAAATACTACTGACTTAGCCGTTCCTAGTGCTATTTACGGCAATAAAAAAAAATGATGCACCGCTTTTTAGCATTTAATATTTCCTAAGCACCACCGCCGGTAAATGGCTAAATCACGTCTGCTATTTGAGAGCGCTATCTCATCGTGCGTGTGCGAGAGTGCGTCCTCTCCTCCCTCCGTCCTGGCACCTGTACCACCAACTATCCCTAACCCACCCCCCCCCCCCGCCTCCAACCACCCCCTCGGTCGGAAGCCAGCGCTCGCGCGCGAGAGAGACTCCGCAAAGAGGGGTAACCACCCGCGCCCGACGGAGGGAAGCGGTGGAGGATGGAGGAGGGGGGGCAGGAGAAAGGGTGGCACGCATGCGCCCCGGCACTCGCGGGGGATTACCCGGCGCGATCAGTCGTGGCCGGCGGTGCCGGAGGCCAAAGACTCTCATCGCGAGGGTAGTAGACGCGCGTCGCATTTTCCGCCGGACCTCTTCCGCTCTCGGGTGTACTTATCTGTGCCCTCTTCACCCTCCCTCACGTCCTCCGCTGTCCTCCGGAGCCCCGTCGTCGCCCCCGTCGCAATCCGCCGCGCGATATCTAAACCGCCGCCGGCTTTTAGATCGGCCGCGCGCCGCGTATGCACCGCGTGCACTCGCAGCAGCATCGCCGTCGACACCGCGAGGACACGTCGCTGCTCGTTCTCGTCGTCGGTCACCATCGCCACCGGGTCCCTGCGCCGCGCGTCGTGCACGTCGCCGACGACGCCGACGACGACGACGACGACGACGACGACGGCGGCGGCAACGATCCAGCAACGACCCGACGGCATCGCGGCTGATCGCGAGGATCAGGGTGACACAAAAAAACACGGACGTGCGTCATCGTTCCTTTCTGAGAACTAGACGCCGGGCTCGGTCGAGCGTGCGATTCGACCACACGATCGAAGGATGCTGGCCCGCTGCCTAATTTTCGCAGGTAAATCCTCCCCTAACGCCTCTCTTTTATTCTAAGTCTTCCGTTGCGAATCGATTCTTGTAAAAAGCGAAAAAATAGAGACGGAGCGAGTGGAATAAACATTGTATATCGTAAAAAGGATCTATTAGATTGATATTCGCACATAGCTAATTCATATTAAGCTTCGATTATTATAGATCTTTTGATCTAAATTTTTCTTTTACATTAAAATTACATTACATTAAAATTTTACTTATAGAATATTATATAATTAGGAAATGAAAATTCAGTTAACTGAAAATGATATTTCCGATGTGACAAACAGTCAGAGGGAAGAGTGAATTTAAATGACGTTCAAACTCCGACTTCTTCATCTACGGAATGTTGAATTATATTATGTGCATGCTGATTCAGGGATTTTACCCTTCTCACGATAACGGCGAGGAGCTCCTCTGCCTCGTTATACCTCATCGAAATTGCGCATTGATATCGCACGATAGCTCGGTCGTTACATCCCGGCGATATCTCCACTGTATTTCAATTACATTTTCATTCGTTTCGAAAACGCGCGTTTTTTTTTAGGGGATCGGTGCTTATTTACGAATAAATAAATATTTTATGACGGAATTTCGCAGAGGGTGGAAACGCGCTTCCCCGCCGTCGTCGCGACAAGATGTTGCGCCACTTTATTAAAAAAAGAACTCCCCAGTAGCTCATATCTCGTATCCCGTAAACGTCGGAGTTCCGCGTTTAGTGTGAACCAAATTTCCATTTTGGCTTTACGATCCACCGTACACGTGACTCTCGAATAATGCGTATCGTAAATTTTGTATATGGCGTTTCGGACTTGAACGCGACTTCGGAATTGTCCCGTCGCGAATGCAATAATAAAACTTTAAATTACTTACTTTTTACGAACGAAAGATCGACGCTCGAACGTCAATTACGTCAATTATATATATAAAATCTCATTGTTTTAGTCTCCTCGCGTTTCGCGAGGCATTATTGGCCGCTGTACGTAGAATAAAGTGCCCTAGATGCGGGCAGGCTGCGTTATAAAAAAACATACCTATTTGCAGCGTGATATCGCAACTCGTTGCGACGTCGCGGCGTGTAATTGAAGCGATCGAAGTGCGAAATTTGTTCATGCGAAAGTTTCGCGTCGCGTCGCGGAACATCCGCGCTATCGCGACGCCGGTTACCGCACGTCCATACTATTTTCCCGTGGAAACAATTTCAGCGCAGCCGTCCAACTTCCTGCGCGTGTAAACGCGCGTATGACACGACGTGTGCCGCGCGTGTTCTCCCGTGTCTATAGCACCGAGCGGTGTGTGCCTCGAAAAGTTTCGCTGGAAACGAGATAGAAACAGGGGCGCGCGCGAGCGCTTACACGAACGCTTACGGAAATCTAATGTGCGAGGCTGTTTAACAAGTCCGTGCAACGGTCGTAACCTATAACGTGAAGAAACCTATAACGAATTTCGACAACGAGCGCAATGAACGCGATTTCAAACGAAATTTTTAAATAATAGCGTCCAATTGTATAAATTTGCGAAATTTAGATAAAGAGAAGATGTCAGAAAAAGTAAAGAAGTAATGCACATTTGACAACACATTTTCCAAATTTAAATTTTTTTTTTTTTTTTGTTAAATGCGCTTCTCTGTATCTCTACATTTCCTGAATCTCGGCATCTGGAATGAGGTACAAAAGAATCGCAGCGCATGTCTTTTCATAAAGCTAATGAACCACGGATGAACCAAACAAGTAAGAAAAATGTAATGATAATAACAACAACAATAATAATAATAATAAATATAATATTTAATTGTAAATCTAAGAAAAAGCTCTGTTTTTAAGTACAGCCACTTGATTCTCTCGTTTGCTTGAAAACATCGATACTCGAAAACAACAAAATGCACAAATAATTTCTCAATATCCATTTATTATTATTTATATGTTGTTTATACATTACGTTGAAATCCGTGTATTATCGTAAAATTATTATTGCCGTAAAATTAAACTTTGCCTTACTTAATAGCACAGTACAGGAAAGAGAAGCATATTTTGCAGCCAAAATTATTCGTGCCGTAATATCGATCATTAAATTATCTCGTTCGGCGGTGGTACTCAGAATTATTTAGGTCGAGCGAAAAATCACACCGTCATGAGAGCGTATAAAAAGCTCCGATCCCATCTATCTCGCTTAAGGACGTTAATTAATTGCAAAAGTCAACTGTACTGTTCGTCTCCTTAATAACTCCCTTAATGATACGTAAAGACGATAAACTCGAAACGTAGCGTACAAGGAAGAACTATCAATTACGAGCTTCTCGACGTCTCCCTGCTGTACGTTTGTCTGGCAGCGAATGCAATCATCTTCCAGACAGCCTCGAGAGAAAAGAAGAGGGGTCGATAACGATTGCAACGCACCTTAAGATTCCTCTCGTTAACGTTCCTACTTTTTTCCGCGTCCGCGCAGGAAGCTTTCTACAGTTTCCTGAAGGAGCTCGTCGTTGTAGTCATCGTCGTCGTCGTCGTCGTCGTCGTCGCCATCGCCGTCGTTGCCGCCGCCGCCGCCGCCGCCGCCGCCGCCGCCGCCGCCGTCACTGCTTTACCCCCTCGTTCCGCACTAATTGCGGACAATCCCGGACTTGAAATCTCTCGAATCCGGGAAAGCCTTTAATCTCGACTGCCGTGCCTTAACGATGTCGCCCGTGTTTCGTAGAATGACGTTCTGAAATTTAAGCGCTCAGGCGGGCGGAAGAGCCACCCTTAATAAGGCTCCTCTCCCACGCTTCCGTCAGATAAAATTTCCTCCCTTCCTTTATCCATCTCGCTCTTGCTCCTCTCGCGCACTCGGATCGAAATACGTTAGTAGTGTTAATGACATTTTGTGATGATTAAATAAACCTTTAAATCTCACAATCAGTCGTCTAACAGGAACAGAAACTTCGTGCGAATTCGAGAGAAGTAAATGAGCCGGTTGAATAACTTCGCGCTATCTATGTTTCTATGTGACAACGCGTGCAACAACGCATCGTCTAATTTTGTAATAAAAGGCTCGATAATTGCAGCAAATAAAAGACTCATACCGAGGACTGCATTTAAGAATTACCTAAAATAAAATTGCAAAGTTATACGTTTGAATAAACATCATTTTTTTTCATAATTTTTAAAACGTAATCAGATAATAATATTCTTTTAATAACCAACTAAAAAAATGAAAAGTTTATTCATCAAAAATTGAAAAAGACAGTTCCTTGTTATGAAAATTTTTAATTAATGTTTATCTTCAATAAATTTAAATCCTATTATTATTTCTTTGCTTTTCTATTTTAGATTATTAATTTAGACCCGATCGGTTAATCAAATAGCGAGTCGTATAATAATAACCATTCTCTAATCAATTATAATTTTAGTTCTTCAAAAAGTGCGATACTTAACTTAACTATTAATGGCAATGCAGCTCCAGCATTTCGAAATTCACGCAGGCTATTCCTGCCTCTTTAACTACGCTTTTAACATCGTACGGTAGATCGTACTTTTCGGCCAGTGCAATAAACGCACGATATTCGCTTCCGAGGTGGCGTATTCAAAGCACGGTCGTTGCAACGCGCGGACAGACATACGTGCTGGATGATGAAACCTGCTAATTATTTCTCACTCGGAAACACCGGAAAGGCATGCCTGCGACAGCGCGCGGATTTTCCGCTGCACCGCTGTCCAATCTGAAGCTGATATTTTTCCACATTCGTTTTTAGACGCTTCCATTAATCCTTTGCGCTCCGTAAAATTGTTTTAAAAAATGTAACTTATTTTTAAAATGCAGAATGACGTAACAATACATGAAAAAGTGTATATTCTCTCGCTGGCCATTATGTCTAGCGTATTCGATTCGATAAACATACGTGGTGATTAACGATTATTTATTACTGCCGTGAAAGATAAATTTATAATAGTTTCTTGATCATATTTTTATGTCAAACAAATTATTTTGCCTGCACTTGGCCGGGATAAAAATTGTCTCTCGATGGTGAAAGAATTAACAAGATCCATTACGCTAGAAATTAGATATTTATATCAATGTTCCACTTCACTATCGCGTGTGCGGAAACTGACGTACGTGAAAACTTTATTCGTGAAAACTTTGATTTCGCTCGTCGCGCGGTGACAAAAATGACCATCGAAATCCGAGCCGGCTTTATCGATCGGCGAGAGCGAATCGAGCCCGCGGCCAAAAGAGATGCGAGACTTTTTCGCCGGCACGTTCTCCGATTAGGTGGATAATACGGGTCGACGTGACGGGCCTACGCATCCCCGATGAGCCTCGAATCCCGGCACCGGCTTGAATAATTTATTCGTTATGAATATAAACTCGAGGAAACTGATTCGTATCGCCGTGAGACCGGCGCCGCACGAGGTTCTAGGTTGAAGCAGGATGAAGAACGAAGGGAAGAGAGAGGACTAAGTTAACTATGAGCCCTTCAGTTTCTCTACGACCTACGATGTTCGTCCCGTACGTGTGCAGCTTCTCTCCCATGTTTTCTTTCTCACCCATTCCCCTTGTCCCTCCCCCCCTCTCTCTCTCTCTCTTTACCTTCATACTTCTCAACATCTACCTTCCGTTTTCAAAGGTGAGGATCGAGCAGAGCTTTCAATCTCACGGCTGCCGCTTACGTTCTACGATCTCGTACGCGTTATTGGAATGCCAGAAGCGCGAAGAAGGGCTTTAGTGACCGATATAGATGATACACATACGTGATGGATACGTATACGTTCCATTTGTAATCTGCTGATCACACGCATCCTGAATAGGGATGTTTTCAGAATTGAATAGAACACAAATACACGCAATTTTTTTCCCCAACACTTTTCAAGCGATATTAATTAATATTTCTTCAAGTATTTATCTTACACCGTTATATGATTATAATCGAGCAAAAATATCTTCGATACTTAGTATATGTGTATAAATTAATTAGTAATTTTCGATTTCAAGCATTTGAAATAACTCACTTAA